GAATGCTAAGTTGTACAAAGAGAAGATAAAGAGATAACGCAATAGGCACAATAAAGATAAGGAGTTCGAGGTTGGTCACAGGGTTCTTATGTTTAATTCTTGCCTCATGCTCTTTCCAAGTAAGTTAAGGTCGAGATGGTCAGGTCCATTCATAATTGTGACTGTGTATCCTTATGGCACAGTTAAGGTAGTGTCTCAAGATTGTCAGCGAAGGTTCAAGGTCAATGGACAAATGTTGAAGGCTTATTAGGTGAGTGATTCATTAAATGAAAAGACAATCATGCCACCTGAGAATCCAGAATAGTCTAAACAACAAAGTCGAGGTATAGATTATAAACAAGCGCTTATTGAGAGGTAACACAATTCTCTTCTCTTTTATTTATTCAACACTTTCGGTTTAGAATTTTTTATATTTTTGTGTTTTTAAAGTAGCCAAGGGATCTTCATCCACCAATGAGATTATTATATAGGGTCATACGTGCATTCGTACAAGTTTCATACATGATTTGCATAAAGTTTGGAGGTTTAGAAGAGTAAAAGACGATTTTTAAGCTCCTGTTTGTTTGGCATTTTAAGGAGAATTTTTACCGTTGTTTAGGGGTATTAGCCGCAATATTTGACCACTTTGTCTGTTGGTGGGACCCACTTTTTTCGAAAAAAAAGGTCAAAAAATTCATTTTCATGTTAAAATAATGTGAAACAAACAAGATGTAAGTGAAAACTGTGATTTTGAAGTAAAAAAAGAGTTTGAAGCAAGAGTAGATCAAAATGTTGTTTTCGGGGATGAGGCTGAGTTTAAAATAGTTTCTATATATCCCATTGCTTCCTGACCTTTTGAACAGATTTTACCCAAAAATCAAAGTTTGAGGGCGGCCATGGGGTCCGACAAGTCAAGTTTTGTAGAAGGGGAAAAATCCCCCCTCTGATATGCCACATGCGCATGGGCCATTGACCTCAAAGCCTTCTTCGCAGTCTTACACATGGATATTCATTTAAACTCTTCGGAGAAAATAGACAGAAAGATGGCATGGACAACTCTATTGTTCTAGTTACACTTAGCTAAATCATCTTTAGTCCAATAAAAATATCAGTAGCTATGACAACACCTACAACAAATATAGATGGGGGAATCCAACCATTTTCTACACTGATCGAGTTCATCCAGACTTTAAAAAGGCTTTAACATTTCAATAAGTATAATTGCTTCCATCAAAATATGGAGGAACATAAAGCGATTGACTCATCTAGACAAAATTGGGTCAAGGATCGAATTATACTCTAATACAAATTGAAATAACGAAATTCTCTAGGGTGAACATATGCATCTAATGCGAAATTAAAATAATAATCAATAAAAAGCAACAAGTTATTAATTGTTGTTTCTAGATAATTAAGTTTAATCAATGATTGCACATCAAAACAATAAAAGTAAAATCAACACCAAATATATTAAGGAAAACCCTTGAAAAACTCTTCACGTGATAAAAAACCTCTGGGCAAACATTGCCAAAACAATCTATCTACTAGAAAAGAAACTTAGAGTTGGTCCGACACAACTAAACTTTAGTAGACTCTAACCACACAACCTATAAATCATCGAACAACCTCTTAGATTGTGCCTCTAGCTTGTTCTAGAACTCTATACTTTTTTTTCTCTCCGCGTGGATCACCAAGAGCAAATCTCGTTCTTTTTCAACTGGAACTCCGGCTGCCTATCTCCCAACTTCAGAACTCTGAATGATTATTGATAAAAGATTTGGTATTTGATATTTTGATCTTTTGTGTCTTGATCTTGTGGAGGCAAGAGATTCATTGAATATGTGCTTGATCTCTGTAGAATGTTCTATTGAATGAAATAAAGGCTCAACCAATTTCAAAAGATGTTTGGGATGATCATGGCTTGAGTATTTATATTGCGGAGTGTTTGAAGTTGTTTAAGGCTGTAAAATCTATTAAAATTGCAAAGAAGGTTTTGTTAGGATACAACCACAGCTCGAGCCCTTGTTGAATGGTCAACGAGCGGAGGCTCGATCGTACAAGCACTCAGCTTTCCAAGGCAAACAGCGAGCATTTTATCAACGACGACTTCGTCCTTGTTCCATCTTTGACTTCTGCAACACATGATAACCCAATCCCCGACTCTTTGACTCAAATTACAACTCAATATAACACGATTTTGGACTCAGAAATAGCCAACACAATTTAGACCTAACACCTTCCATAACGAACCTTGATTGTTGTATCATCCCATGGTCCTTGAATTCTAACGTTTTCTTCTAGTGTGGAATTAATATTCCAATGGAGGGAGGGAGTTGACCGGCATCTGTTGACACCTAGTTCTACAAGACTATAGGTCAATAGAGTTTCTGAAATAAAATGAACTAACAATATGTGAGCTCTAAACCAACATCATCTCTTGCTGACACATAAAACACCAAGCTTTTACACTGTAACTATTTCTTACCATAAAACTTTCATCTCATAATAACACAAAAAATGAACAAAGTGTACAGTGTACATATGTTGTATAGTATTGCATAATAACACACCAAGAAACTGGGAAAAAGATGACCAAATTATGAAACGGGCTCTCCATTTTTGGTTCATGCCATTGTGCACTCTGGAGGAAATCCTTGAGGAAAACGCTTGTTATCAGTACAATAACTGTATATCATGTAATTCTTCTGTACCCACTTAATTTTTTCTTGGCCGCTGCTGTCCAATGATTCCGTTAACCATGAATTTTCAGAAGAATTTTTGGAGCATGCATCAGCAGAAGAACCTGAAGAGATTATGCAAGCCCGAGCATTAAAATTTTTGTAAGAAGCTGTAAAAGGAGCTTGACTCCAGTCAGTTTTGACAAGGCCCCCTCTTGTGGCCCAATCATCAGCATCCCATAGGCTTGAGAAAATCCACATTGGTTGGCTCTTTGGATAGGGGACCCCTTTAGATTCCAAATTCTTGAATTGCCTAATGGGAGTTCCATCTACAGAAAATCTGTTGTGCGGATATATGAAATAAGGTAAGAGCCCATTCAAAGAATGAATTCGGATTAAGATATCTACTAGCAACTTTTTCCAGCTTATTTGGTAAGGTGGACAGCAGAGTATTTGGACAATATTAATATATAATTTTATCCAATACTATATACCAAACTTACCATTAAAAAAAGACTGGTAAACATAACATGTAATTTTTTTTTTTATGTTTAGCAAGTACATGCACAAAATGATGCTTGCGTGTCTATTTCTCTATGAGAGAAAGAAGATAGAAGAGAGAAGAGAGATGGTGAAATGAAGAGGTTTACATGATGCTTAGAGGGTTCCACAGAATAGAGTAGGTGTGGAAGTCCTTGGTGGGATCGAACCAGAGATAAAACTGTTCCTCTCTGTTACCTTTTCCTTCTGTGAACACATTAGTATGAAGAATATAAGGGTCCCCGCTTAGGTTACCAAGAAACTCGAAGTCAATTTCGTCGTGACTCGATCCAGTGGAAGACAACTACATCAACATTGACAGCGTTAAACATTAAAAAATTATAAGAAAAAATATACTATAAATATAATAAAAATAATACTATTTGTAAACAATTCTTAAAAACACAAGTCTATTTGACAATAGGGTTACTTTCATATTCTTCAATGAATTAAAATTTATTCCTATTTTATTTCAAAGAATGACAGTTATCCCATTATCACATAAATTGCTTTTTATAAGTTGTGTTTAAAAATATTATTATTCAATATATAATACACAATCAAGAAAAAGATTAAGTCTCCTTTTGGAAAGATTTATAAACGGTTTAATTTGTAAATATATAGAAATAAGTGGTAAATAAATGATGAATATTTGTTAGTTATTAAAATGCGTTATTAAAAATAAAGTTTGATTATTTATAAATTAGTCATAAGGAGAATAGATAATGAAAAAGACAATATTATGAAACTTACATAGTAAGCGGTGACAGTGCCAGCAGAGTTGCCCGGGACAAGTTTTAGCTGCATGTCTATCTTACCAAATAAATATTGGTTTTTCGACTTAAATCCAGAACCAGAAGTCTTGTCCAAGGACAGCGTAAGAAGCTCGCCGTTATTGAGTATTTTTGCCCGTCCGTCACCCCATGTAATATCGAAATTCTGATTAAAATTGCCAGCAAAAGCAGCAATGAAAAAGAAGAAAAACACAACAATATTCTTCATTACAAGTAATGTTTTCTTGGTTTATATATTTTACGTTGTTGAAGTGCATGAAACTGAGGCTTTATATAAAGCAAGTTGGTGAAGAGATTAACTCGATAATGCAGCAACCAATTGGGTTTGAAGTGGGTAGGAAAAGTATGCATGCGTGTAATGAAGTGAAATTTACGTTGACTAGGCTTTGTTGGGACCAGACAGCTAATTTCATGACGTGAGAGTTTGTGGGTTTTACTACATAGAATCAAATGCTTTGTTTTTCTAATGGGATGGATAGGAATTAGGAGAAAAGAGATGTATAGGAGGTTATCCTTATAAAACACAGCTGTATTGATGTAACAATCCTAGGTGTTAACAATTGGCTTTGTTTTGAAGGCAGCCAAACATCTTCATCTGGTCTTTGTTACTTGTGTGATTGGTAGAGCAACTTGCATATAATAATTAGTTACTACAAGTTCTTGATGGGTTTGTACAATCTTGTATATATCTACCTAATGGTAGGAGGGGGGAAAAATAGAAGTAAAAGTCTCATCACGGCCAAATAATTTTAAGTGTGTTTGACTTAAAATAGATCTGAATACATGTTAAGCCACCTCAAAATTGGATCATACCAACTTGGCATAGCCTGGTTCCCAGAAAATCCATGTCACTTAGGGCGTGTTTGGTCGTGCTTAAAATCCAATTAAAATTGAAAATATAGTCGTTATTGGGTTCCACTGGTCTAATAAAAATCAATAATAACGTCTAATTGTTCAATTTTAATCCGATTTTAATCTCTACCGAACACTCCCTTAATGTTAAATCTAGCTAACTTATGGAACACGATTGATAATTTTCGAAGGTTCCATTGGCAATGTGGAAGTTTTAATTTCTTGTCAAATCAAGTATCCAACTGGAAGCCACCACTCATAAAAATAATACAAGTATTGCTTGAATGAAGTCTTCTTGATGGGCTTTACAATCTCCAAGTCTTAATCAATCCATTTTGGAATGAGATTCTTCCAGCCATTTCAACGTTGTTATCAACAAACTACAGGACTCAAATTATCTTGATTTTGAAAAATCCTCTTTGAGTACCGAGGGCGTTATTAATTCGGTGTGCAAAATGATTCCCATTTTGTAGTCTAATTATTTTATGGATGCTTCTAGGGGTGTCAAAATACGTAGGGCGAAAAGAACTGGCTCTCTATGTGAGCCTTAACTTATTCATTGTCGATATTATCTTGCAAGAGGTTGGTATCATTAACGAGCAATGAGTATAGTATCGTCTCACGAGGATTATTTATTGGTTTCGCATTTATTAAAAATAATTCTACCAAAAGCACTACAATAAAAACCGTCTTTCGCAACGTTCAAAAAACTTTGAGAAAAAAACTTTTGCAACGTTTTTTAAACATTGCGAAAGATAATTTGGCAACATTTTCTGAACGTTGCGAAATGCAAGTTTTTGCAACGTTGAGAAAGACAGTTTTTTGCAACATTTTTTGACCGTTGCCATAGGTCTTTTTATATTTTTTTAAATTTTAAATTTTTTTATTTGTATAGGGATTTACATGAATCAACCATAAAACATTATAGAAGATTTGTTATAGTTTATTGAGCAATAATTATTATTAATTGAACTGCAAAATGTAACAATACCCGTACAAAATCTAGATCCAAAATTTTGAAGCACCTAAAAATCCTATACAATTTCAATTAAAAAAAAAATTCCACAAATCCTAAGCAATGAGTAAAATAGCCACACTAGCGTTGAATACACACCAGCTAGAAAACAACTCATATTCGTGAAGCCTTAAATAAACCACTGCAAACACTTTGTCTTGTGTAAATGGAGTACACTTCTTAATGCGTAGATATAACCTGCACATAAGTAATAAAGTTTAAGTTTCCAGTGACAGCACAATAACACGAGCATCCACACGTACACACATTAACAAGTTCTTTTTTGAATGTGACAAATGTCTAGCACAATATTGATAGATATCCTGTTACTTCGTCAATATTGACTAAAACAGAACCAACAAAAGGAATTCATTAACATAGATTCCAAGTATCCTGAAGGGGACAAATGACATACCGTCGTCATCGTCACTGTTATCCCATTAAGGGGGCGAGGTTAATGGGATCCTATTTTCCAGCTACTCAGAAGTCCTCCATTCCACCGACGCTTCCCCAGGCTGGCACTCCTGCTGTAGCACAGTACATACCCCTTCCAGTGACTTCGACCTCTTTGTTCCAAACTCCTTAGTAGATATCTCAGCCATTTACTCCCCTTCTCAACTCTCACATTTCGAAATTTTCTTTTGCTTGTATATTATTATTATTATTGTTATGTAAACATGTGAAATATCCATCTATAGACCATGAACAGGAGCTAATATACATAAAACATAACCCACACCACAAAACTATTCAAATAAGTAAAATAACACATTGCGGCAACTAAATAGACTAACATACTCATTTAAACTTGCAACTTGTCTTTTAAAGTCGTGGTTTTTCCACTACGAGAATAGAGATTCTAGGGTCTTGGGATTGTCAACCACAAGACTACAAGTGAAGTTTTGGCACACAAGCTACAACTTTGTCAACAGCAAAGTTGTTTTTAGCCATTAGAGCAATATTTTCTTTAGTCTCCTAACAAAATCCCTTTTCTTCATCATCTCTAGGATCTATGTGGATCACCTGCACTCAACTGTATCGAATTCGAGTAAATGGGTATGATGATAGGAATAGAATGAAAGTGAAGGGGATAATATGTGTGAGAGAGTACTCAAATGTTCGATTAAGATCATATGATGCATGTGCAATGTCTAACATGCTGTCAAATTCCACAAAACACTTGCATCCAACCAAGACTACTTTTTTTGTGGGAAGGCACAATAAGCATATCTGCAACACTAGTTAAGCCTATATCAAGAAAATTGAAAGTAAAATCAAGTTACAGAAAGCATAATCCACCCCAAATCTCTTCACTTCCATTATGCCCAAATTAAATTGGATTGTACTACATGTACACTCCATGGTTTACACAATCCTTCACACCACTCTCACATGTAGGGGGACCCACGAATATTTTATTGTGTGTGGGCCCCCTCCATGTGAGAGGGGTGTAAAGGATTGTGTAAAGGATTATGTACATTTAGCATAATCCAAAACTTATTGATGTGATGAAAAACATGAGTTTATTGAAGAACGTGTGATTGAAAATGAGTAGAAGAATGAAAATAAAAATTTTAATTATGTACATTTAGCATAATCCAATTAAATTAATTGAAAACACCCCTTCGGACCGGCTATGCGAACTGCGCGACTGACATAGCCTCTGGAACAAATTTGAAATAATGTGATGATGTTTGGGTTGAATTGGTGACATGGAAGGAGTCGTCTAGTGATGGGCAATGGACCGGTGTAGGAGTTCCGATCATGGGCTTGGCCGGAAGTGGATTTTTCAGTGATTTTCAGATTAGCAGGCAGCGAACTTTGAGGAGTGATTCCGGCTAGTACAGTTGATGGATTTGGAAGTTGTTGGTTGCTAATTGAAGAGGAGATGAAGGGCTATCCATTGGTGCCAATGTCCAGCGGTTTTGGTGGCCAAGGGTCGTCGAAAATTGGGCACATTTTGGGCGATTTTGAAGGCAAAAAATTATCCCTTTTGGTTGGAGAGGAATGAATGGAGGGAGACGTGAATAAGCTTAGGGTTTGGGTTATTCTGGGTTTCTATCAGCTAATTTAAAAAAGTACAAAAATTTCGCAACATTTGTCAAATGTTGCAGAAAGTGACTTTTTGCAACATTCAATAAATATTGCAAAAAATAAAAGTTCTCATTTTTGGCAACATTCAATAAATGTTGCGTTCAAAAAATGTTGCCCTAAAACCTTTCGTGACGTTTAATGAACGTTGCAAAAGTGAACTTTTCACGTCGTCTAATAAACGTTACGAAAAATAAAACTTTTTGCAACACTCAATAAACGTTGCAAAAGGCGACATTAGCAACATTATTCTAAAAAAATTGCGAAAACTCATTTATATTAACCAATGACAACATTCATTTATTAAAATGTTGCGATAAACTTCTTTAGCAACATTTAATCAACAAATGTTGCATTTTAAGTGTTGCAAAAGGCATAGTTGGTGTAGTGGTAAAGATTAAACTTTGGTCTTAAAATTGAGATTTTCCTAATTAATTCAAATAAGAAAAAAATGATTATAATGTAAAAAGCAAGTATCGAGATAAAAATAATTTAAGGAAATAGTTAGAGTCAGATTTCACTAATTAAAACCTACCCATGATTTTCATCGACGCCATCTGGCACCAAAACTATTGCTGCCATTGTGTGTCAAGCTCTCGAAGGTGTTTTTTAAGTTTAGCATTGTTGGGGATTGAACCAATATAACAAAGAAGCAACGAAAACAATTAATCCAACCCCTCAATACACAAGAATTAAAATGGCAACTATAATAGGCAAATTCAACAAACTCACACACACTAGCAGGAATGTAAATTGAACATAAAGATTTGTTAACGAGGAAAACCATGCGAAGAGAAAAACATCGGGACCTAGTCCAGTAAAAGATCCATCCACTATAAAGATAATGGGATACATAGTAATCTTCTCTAAAGCCAACTCCAAAGGCTACCAATACATCAAGAACACATATAATTCTTGGATATCAA